AGGAATGCCTTGGCTTGAAACACTGTACGCCATGTTGGCTGGGTTTAACATCCCATTATTTAATGCCATTTGCTCCTTGTATCTAGTGCTAAGTCCATTGGTGATTGTATTTGTCTGTACATGGAGTTCATTTAGCCTTGAACTTGATCCCCATTGCCGTTGTGCTCCGACATTGAGGTCTTGCATGCTGCGTAATTGTCGCTCTTGGTGTTCTGCCAGAAGTTCTGCTAGCTCAGTTCCCTCACTATATTGTCTTGTGAGTGAGAAGTGCTTTTGTCTTGTGTTGGATGAACTGTTCTGTACTGCATGATTTTTCTCTGCAAGTCTTTGAGCTTCAATGTGTTCTGTGTTTGAAACTTGGTATAAAATAGAAATAGAAGTGCTATTACAAATATCTACAGTAGTAGAAATTAAAAGTGCATCAATGTTGACTTTGATTAATTGAAATACAGTCACAAGATTGCCCTCTTAAGTAGACAGGATGGTAGGGTAGGTAAAGTCTGCATAACCAGCCAAGTGACCCATCAGGCCAGAGCTCATCCTGGTTTCTGTAGCATGAAGTGACTAGGAATATTTCTACTCTCCCTGAATGGAATGCTATTCCATTGTAGAGTTACCCCCAGCATTAAATTTGCCGGTACCCAATTTTACACCTGGATGGGGAGAAGCACTGTGAGAGTAAAGTGTCTTGCCCAAGAACACAACACTATGTTCCCAGCCAGGGCTTGAACCTTGACTGCTCGATCTGGAGGCCATCATGCCTCTACACTATATACACAGGATATCCTTGTTTTAATGGGTGGGCTAAACAGAGCGGCTTTCAACTGAGTGTTGTAAAACCAAAACCAAAGTAATCACTCTGGCCAATCACAAAGGACACAGACAACCCAGCGAACCAATCAAAACTCAAAGTAATTACATGAAGCTGACGCAAAGTGTGGCAAAATGCGTACAAGGGAGTTACAATTGGTTTTGGTTTTACTCCTGATTGGATAAAAAGTGGTGCGAGTTTTTTAAACCAATCAGGTGGTGTAGTAAGTGTAAAACCAATTACTTTTCGACACTTAAATCAAACCACTCTATGCCTAATTTATAATTTGAAATTTATTTATTTATGTGAAATTTATGTGAAATTTTTTCTTGACTTTTGTGACATTCAAATGTAGGTACCTTTGTGCCAGAGCTGTGGAGATGAAGGCTCACTCACAGACTTGCCACGTGCGGTTGGTAATGAGCCTCCCACATTATGGTTGAGATCAAGGTTTACAGCCTTTATAGGTATTTTCAGTCTTGGTGAAGACCAGTAGTTACTCTCCGTAGGGTTGAACCGGGATGTAGACATTGGCTCTAGTAAACAAAACACAATAATAACTCAATTCTGTTTGGAATCTCAGACTACTTTAAGCTTGAGTGACTTTTGTAGTTAGATTGCTGTATAAACTGGTTGACTGACTAAATGACCTATAGGATAAATGATTTATTGACTGTTAATACACAGACGGACAGACAGACAGACAAACAAACAAATAGAAAGACAGACAAAGAATGGCAACACAAACAAAGAGCTGCACAGACAGTCAGACAGAGAGACACAAAGGTAGACAAACAGGCTAAGAAACAACTACATGTA